CACACCACGGGAACTTGAGGTTGTTCCCCGGTGGTGTTTGTCTCTGTGCCGCGTCCGGCGTTGCTGGAAGAGGCCATGAGTGTTGAGTTTTTCAAAGAAGAAGAAAGGGGTATGAGAGTTTGGAGGGAGGCCTTTTGAAGCGCTCCCACAGACGGCGCCAATTGGTGATGCACAATCCGGCCGATCTTAGCTGTCAACGATCTTGCCTCTAAACTGAGTGACAGGGAACCTGAAACGGAGGAAGTGAAGAAGCTCTGGGGAGAACCCGGCGTAAGGGCTCCGAAGCTCAAGTTAGAGTCTTTCAAAGGCAAGATAAGCCAGATAGCGCCAAAGTTAACATACCTTGTTCTTGGGGGGTAGGAGCCTTTTATAGCCACCTCGCGCACTCACTTCCAGGCTTCTGTCAGATCAGGCATGATTATCTCTGAGCTCCTGCCAGTTCGGATGTCATTTCCTCTAGCTGGACAGAACCGCCACTGCTCCTTTTGTCGGAGCCGTCTCTGCGGCTGGTAACGACGGTGGCAGGTGGCGGTAGCAGGAGGCCGTTTGAAGTGTAGCTGTCAGGCGTCAGATCCCAAATCAGTCAGGTGCGCCGCCCTTGGGTACGAACGCCCTTGGTGTCAGGTACGTTTGGTCAGTCTGGTGTTTCGGAAGCGAAGTGCTGGAGTGGCGAGCGAGATGTCTTGAGTTCGGTTTGGGGAGTGTTTCGAGCTGCCATGGGTCAACTCGGGTCACGACTTTGTGAGGCTTAGGACCCGAGATAGTTCTGGCTCCTTGCAGGGAGCTTGGGTTCTCAGTAGGGAGCTCGGGTTCTTAATAGGGAGCTCGGACTCCCAGTAGGGAGCTCGGGTTCTTGGTAGGGAACTCGGACTCCTAGTAGAGAATCCGGTCTGGTGGAGTTCAGGCTTAGTAGTGAGCTTGGACTTCGTTACTTTTGGTGCTCGTTTTGGGCGCTCTGCTGCCCCAAATTGCTTGCTTTTGCCACGTATCGGGTGATTGCGAAGTCGGGCCAAATTTCCCTTCATCAGATACCATAAGTAATAGCTTCAGTCATACAAATCCTTATCAGTAGTGCTTCTAAAGATAAAAGGCCTATATGGAGCTCATTTATCAATAAAGGGTTTACTATGATGCCAAAATGACATGACACCACAAAAACTTATAATCAATATTCAACCAACATTATAAAAGTGGTAACCAATCACGTAAGTTTTCACCAAAATTCATGAGGGATTTTGATTGTTCAAAGCCTTCCCGGCATCATGTCTATTTGACATCATAGATTTTTCATAAAAAAAAAAAATTACATCATGCATTGGGTTAAGATTCAAAATATTAGTATTATGTATTGTATTGGTAAGGTTAGATATAAATATGTATTGTGATACATTTTGGATATACATAAACACATAAAGATATTCCCACGAATTTTGGGGCTTTTCTACAACATGATTGCTTTTTTTTTTCAAAACCAACCATCCATATTATCAAACACCCCCTTTATAAATATATTAATAGCATTCAATCCAATGTTCGTATAACTATAAATAAGATATAAATACATAAAAAATGCATATAGGTTCTTCTACCTTTTTTCCTTCTAACCAAATACAGCCTAATAGTTTATATAAAGAAATAATTAATGTTAATATAGTGAGACATGTAAATGTCATACGACTTTAATAACAAATGCATCAATAAGTCCAAAGCACATGCTATATAACTTTCTTTTCAAAATACATTTTTTTTTTAATTTTATAGTTGAACATTCATGTATTTTAGGTATCTTTTGGAATTTCAGAATTAATGGCATTGATGATGGTAACCAATGGATATAATTTGAAGTTTGGATTTTATAATCTGCATCCAATTAAAATCGAATCAGATGCCGGTTTAAGTCCATCCTATTCAATTAAAATCCGAGTCCCGTTAATTAATATATATGTATATATTTATTTAATATATAAGATTCATATAATTATATATAAAACAAAAAGATACTCTCGGCTTGCTGGTTAATATTTTCATCTGTAAGGTTTTAGTCACTAATACACCCTTCCTCTACCAAAATTGTTATTGAAAAATTATGATGCAAAATGTTTTTCTTTTTCAATGGAAGAGTCAAAATGTTTCAAGCTGCACAATTCAGGGGCAGAACATCGAGGTATGGATTTTCGGTGAATATGTTCTGTTTGGTGAAGGATAGGAAAAAAAAGGAAAAAATCGAAATATAAGAATACTGTGGTCATTATATTTATAAAATAAAAATGGCAGTTTGGTGATATTTCGACAGACGAGGAGGGTAGTTCGGTAATCCGCACTTTGACGCGAGAAACTGGTGGCGTTTGATAGTATCCCCGCACTACATTCTATAAATAAAACACTAAAATATTTTTCGTTAAGACACAGAGACAGAAACAGAGGAAAACATTGCAAGGAAGAAGAAAAGAAGTAAGAACTACTGAACTACAACTATGGATTCGGATTTCGGCGTTCCCAGAGAACTCTCAGATCTGCAAAAGAAACGCGCTTTGTATGAGCCAGAAGTCCCTCCTTGTCTCCAGGTACTTCTCTCTTCCTCTACAATCTCCTAGTGTTCTTTATTTTTTTTTTTGGGTTCTCTGTCAAGAATTTGCCTCTTGAGTCTTCACCTGCTCTTACCGGTTTCTTACAAAAATCGCCTTTTGATCTTACTCCCCTCTTCTCTCTCTGGATATATATCTTGTATTATGGATCTTGTGTCAAATCTCTGGAGAATCCAATGATGCCTTCTTAGCTTCTCTTTTAGATTTCGTAAGAAGGTTTACATCGGTTCTGTTTCTAGTTTCTTCTTCTGGATACATTCGTTTGGTACTTGTTGAGCTACACTGCTTATTCTCCCTTTTAGTGTGGTGTATTCCTTGTTGATTTTAATTTTAATTTCTTGGCTCTTCACCGGTTTTTATTCTCTTTTAACGGTTCACTAATTCCACTGGTGATTCGATCGGACTGAATGAGGGACTTTTGCTCAAGAGAAGGAACTGCGTGGATGCATGCATACTCACTTCATTGTTTAGATAGTGTTATATTCCGCTTATCCTTTTGGATTCTTGATTCTGTAGCTCCCGTACATGCTGAGTTACTCACTTTCTCGCATGGCTAGACACATGACGTTGTATTTTGCTCCCAACAGGGAACAACAGTCAGGGTAGAGTTTGGTGACGCAACTACGACTGCCGATCCTGCTGGTTCCCTTGGCATCATCCGGGCTTTTCCGCACACGTATGGTCAGCCTTTAGCTCACTTTTTAAGGCCAAAGTCTCAGGTTCCTGATGCCCAGATAATTACAGATCATCCAGCAATCAGGTATATTCTCGATGGTTTCTTTCCTCCCACCTCTGCTGCACTATTATTGGAAGGGGAAGTCACTATTACGAAGGTGTTGGTTGGATGCTAGGTTTCCATCCTTTTATCCTTGTCTTAGTGCTTTATTTAAAAGAAATAGTCGGAACTTAGTTGCTGTTATAACTACTGCTTTTAACACAAATTTACTTGATCATCAAAACAGCTACTAACTAGCACTGAATTGTTACTTACAGAGTGGGAGTGGTATTCTGTGGGAGGCAATCTCCTGGAGGGCATAATGTCGTATGGGGTCTTTACAATGCTCTTAAAATTCACAACCCTAATAATGTTCTGCTTGGATTTCTTGGTAAGGCAACATCGCAACAGTTATCCTTTTGAGGTTTTTCTTAGGGGATTTTGATTTTGTCATTTTCTATCTGTTCCAATTTAGTATTGTCGTGATAAATTATTTCTAGGTTTAGACAGTGTGCATGATGTCATGGTCATGGTGTTATATCCTCTACTTCCCTTGCTTATTCATTGAGACAAATGGTAGGATTTGTAATTTGAGCTCAAGGAATACCATTTAAACACCATGTTCTCTTATTTTTGCTATTTATTGTGCCGGAGTTGTAAACCCAATTTTATTCTTTACTTACATGCTTTCCCTACTTTTAAGATTTAATTTTTTTAGTGTGTAATGTATGTGTTTGTTTCTTGTTTATCTTCTGGAGACATATGGCTTATGAGATTGCATTGTAAAAGTTGTTCCACTGCCAAGTAATGCAGCAAATAGCAGCATTATTATTGTGAATCATACGACTTCAACATCACAGGGCAACACAAAATTGCATTTTTATTTTCTTAGCTAGTGGTGTCCATAGTTGTAGTTATTGCTTTCAGGGTTCAAATCTCAGAGCATCACATAAGGATCAGTTGACGATCACATTAAAACATTCTTGCCATAATTGAGTTTTTCTTCCTACTTGTGATGGCAGGTGGTTCTGAAGGTTTATTTGCACAGAAAACTCTGGAAATCACAGATGATGTTCTATCTTCATACAAAAATCAAGGTACTTTTGGTTGAGATACTTTCCTATAAAACATTGCTTAGAGTTTTGATGTAACCTTGGAGATTTTTTTATAGCATTGGTACATTTATACTTGTAGGTGGATTTGATATGCTTGGCAGGACAAAAGATCAAATAAGAACAACTGAACAGGTTAATGCTGCATTAGCCTCATGCAAAGCTCTAAACTTGGATGGCCTTGTCATCATTGGAGGTGGGTTCAGTTTTTTGCTTCTTAATAGACATCAGTTTACAGGCGGAAAAAGGAAGAAAGAAACTTAATAGTATCTTATAATTAAATAATTTGTTATTTTAAAGGTGTAACGTCAAACACCGATGCTGCTCAGCTTGCAGAGACATTTGCAGAAGCAAAATGCACTACAAAGGTACTCTCCGCACAGGCCATTTCCATGGTGAAACTGATATGCTTTCAATTTGAAGTGCCGGAATCTATTGGGTCCATTATCTTTCCTTATCCTTCAATTCTGACTCTGTTATGTTTTCAAATGCATTAGTATGATAAAAATGTGCCCCTTTGCACCTAACATTACATTTTAATTGAGACAGCCGTTTTTCTCCCCTTGTTATTTTATTTTATTCTATTTCATTCTTTTGCTATTAAATGTCTGGCTAACATAAATGTTTGGGCTGCTCAGGTGGTAGGAGTTCCAGTTACATTGTACGGAGACCTTAGAAACCAATTTGTTGAAACCAATGTTGGATTCGATACAATATGTAAGGTATTACTCATGTCGACTTGATGTTTGGTGTTAACTGGTAGTTTAAGAGCAAGTGGCTAAATTGAAGAAAATGTAGTTTTAAGAGTGGCTTTTTTATCTTCCACCCCCCCCCCCCCCTTTGGTGCCTATTTCTTATTGCGAGGTGTTGCAATTTTGATTATGGTAGAAAATTGAAATTGTAGGATGGGATATTTATTGATTATCAAGGTTCCAAAAAAAAAGTTTGGCTATAGAGTACTATAAAATATGGCAGCTATCTCATCAAAGAAAAAAATATAATTCTTTTGCTAGTATGGTATTGGCTATTGCTCTAAATACGAATTTCTAAAGTATGAACCATGTATTTCTAAAGTCTCTAGGTAACATCTTATACAATTTATTGGAGTTGTTGCTTTATGGTAGTTGTTCTTAAATTGGCAATTGGTCATGAATCTTGAATAGGGATCTGTTTTATGTTTTTTATTTACCTTTTCTTTGTTTTAGTACGATGTTCAAAACTTGATTTCCCCTCTTTCTTCAGGTTAATTCCCAGCTCATTAGCAATGTCTGTACAGATGCACTTTCTGCTGAGAAGGTACTCTATCAATTTGTATAATGCAATTATTTTACTTTCTCCTAGTGTTAGCTGCCTACTTTTATTACACAAGAAATAGTGAATGTTATTGATTAAGAAAGAAATATTACACAAGGAATAGTGAATGTTGGAAGTTATTGATTAATAAAGCAATATGATAATCGTAAAGAGGAATTAACATCACAATGAGAACAATTAGGGGTTGTTCAGGAAATCTATAAAGTTATGCTTTCACATGTAAAATATGTGCTTTTGGTATGTAACCATAAAAAAATAACTCTGCATTTGGTATGTGTTTTTGATTTCTTTTTAGAGAATGCTCTGGATTCATCTTCTTCATTTTTCTTCTTTTAGTACTATTATTTTATCCGACTCATGGGCCGGAGAGCATCACATGTTGCATTGGAATGTGCCCTTCAATCACATCCAAATATGGTGAGCTTCCCCACCTGATGCTGCCATTGAATTGATATTTCTTCATTTTGCATTCTCTGCCAGCCTTTTTAATAAAGTTGCTTTGCCACAACCCGTCCACAGGTCATCCTTGGTGAGGAGGTAGCTTCATCAAAGCTTACTCTTTTTGACATAACAAAACAAATTTGTGATGCAATTCAAGCAAGGGCAGAACAAGGTTAGAACTTGCAAGTTAAGATTTCACTTTCCAAGCATCATCATTGCCATTTCTATTGCTAGTTGTATTGTTTCTTATTTTTGTTATTTTGGATAATTAATTAATTTGTTTTGAAGCAGATAAGTATCATGGGGTCATCTTACTGCCAGAGGGACTTATAGAGAGCATTCCTGAAATATATGCTCTTTTGCAGGTAGCCTACATATTTACATGATAAGCTGCACTTTTATATGACTTTTGTTGATGGATGTTTTTAGCTTACCTTAAAGTTGATAAGTGGTTCTTTTGAATAAATTGATCTGAGCTTGTACTTTGGTATTATACTGTAATACCACAGGAAATTAATGGGTTGCACAAGCAAGGAGTTTCTGTGGATAATATTTCTTCACAACTTTCACCATGGGCATCAGCCTTGTTTGAATTTTTGCCACATTTTATCAAAAGAGAGGTTCTAATTTTTTTCCCTACTTTACACATCAATTGAAAGGGAATCTTAGTGCTTATTTTAAACTATTATGAGAATGAAGCTCATCTAAAAGATTCTGTGGTGCAGCTGCTCCTTCATCCTGAATCAGATGATTCAGCTCAGTTATCCCAGGTATTGAAACTCGAGATCTTGATGCTGCTTTAAGGAAATTGTGTTTATTTTGTTCAATCTGGCTTTATTTCTAAAAGTTTCTTTCTTCTTTAGATCGAGACAGAGAAACTTCTAGCACATATGGTGGAGCAAGAAATGAACAAGCGATTGGTAAGTTATTCTCTGTACCTTATATTTTATTTACTTGTGTTTCTAAAAGGAAATGACTGAAAAGGGGCAGGGGGTTTCCAATCAGTGCTCTTTGTCAAGGGTTTTTTTTTATTTTTTTAATCAAGGCATTTTGACATACCGATGTTTCTGTTAATCTGAGCAGAAAGAAGGCACATACAAGGGGAAGAAATTCAATGCTATCTGCCACTTCTTTGGTTATCAGGCCCGTGGGTCTCTACCATCAAAGTTTGATTGCGACTATGCCTTTGTATGTCTTCACAGAATTATTGATTTCTCCTGTTACCCAGGTACTCTGTTATCTAAATTTAGTAATCAGAAGCTATATTCATGCAGGTTCTTGGCCATGTATGCTGTCACATTCTATCAGCTGGTTTGAATGGTTATATGGCCACTATAACCAACCTGAAGAATCCTGTAAACAAGTGGCGATGTGGAGCTGCTCCAATGACAGTAAGGTCCCCATCCTGTTTATATATTTTTATCCTTGGTCCTTGGCTAAAGATGCCCAATAAGGACAACTGCTTGATATATTGAAGTGTTTTTTATAAGCTTTCTTTTTTTTTTTTTTGATAAGTGGTGTTTTTTTATAAATTTAGTATTGTTTATTATGTCTTGCTAAATTCAGTGAAACTTCTAAAATAACAAATACTTTATTGTTGCATATTCATTAAGTTTGCTCTGGAAGTAGCCATGCATCTATCTGGTGTGGTATTAAGCAGGCACTATGTTGGATATGGATATGCCAAGCCTGTACAAGTATTTGGGTATTTGGGATATTGGCTATGAATCCATCATATCATCAAATCTCCATCATCATCATCCAAGCCTTATCCCAACTATATGGGATCAGTTACATGAATCTTGTTTTGTCATCCAAATACAAACATGAGAATTTGGAAAGTTTTAGTGCTGGCTGTCAACCTGATGCAACCCTCCTTTATCCAGGCTTGGGACTAGCGGTGCAAGACAAGCTCACACTGGTGGAGTTTTTAATGATAAATAAATGGTTATGCTAATGTTTAACAAAATAATAAAACTTGCACTCATCAAAATGCATTACTTTGAGAGTAATGAATGTAAAATTATTTAAGTAGTGTGGAAATAGTGGTACCATCCATGTTGTATAATCTGTTGGTATTTCTTTTTCTGTTACTATATCTAGTTATTAGAACAGTTAACGCTTCAATTTACAGCTTCACTCTTTTCTTGTAAAATTGTTTCTGTTCTCCATGGTGTAGCTCATCTTTTGTGTATTTTTTTTCCAGTATGTGCAATGGAAGAGAAAAAGACTTCTTATGATGCTTTTTTTTTTCTTTTGTCAAATATCAGGCAATGATGACAGTAAAGCGATGGTCTCATGGTCCAGGGGTTGCTTCAATTGGAAAACCTGCTATTCATACTGCCAATGTTGATTTGAAAGGCAAAGCATACGAGTAAGTTTCTTCGGCGATGATTTAACCCTTTTTTATTGGTGTTGATGATGATTTAACACAATGGTCAACTTGTTGAAATCTTGGTGAGCATAGGGCAAATGTGCAATTTTAATAAAATAAATTTTCAACAAGCTTGTCCTTTTCAGGCTGCCACACTGAATTCTGTTGTTCATGTGTATTCTCTTTGTTAACTGGAAAACTTGCTTTTCTATGTGGTATTAACCATATCAAGATGCGGACTGTCTGAAATACAGGAACTTGAGCTTCTGTGTTAGCCTGTTAACTTATGTACTCTGTCTAGCTCTTTGTGGCATATGCAATAATTAATATAAAGGGGTGGGTTACTCTCTCTATATTTGTTAGCATATAGCAACTGTCTAGGTTATGTTTTCCAACACCCTTGTCTCCTTTTCAATGCTCTGATTATTTTTTTGTGCAATAAATCAAACATTACGCTTGCTCTCCTGTTTCATATAGTGTGGGATTCCTAGACTACCAATGAAGCCTGAAATCAGAAAACACTGGCATGACAAGTTGTATTGGGAACTTGTATTTCTGTTTATTGTGGTATTCCCTTGGTAGGAGGGACAGTACTTGAAATTTAACCCCAAGAATGAAGGTTAAGATGATTGGTTAAAGTGAATAAGAAAGTTTGTCTTTGAGGTAGAAAGGATCCGCAATACCTAATTTAAATCGCTGCTGCAACAATGTTTCTTGTTGACGTTCTTTTTTCGCAATGGTTATAATTATTGTGTTCATCCTATTGCTACTTGTGAGACTGATACATTTTTCTTCCTTTTCCCCTCGATTTGGGGGGTGGAATGGTTACAGGTTACTGAGACAAAATGCGGCCAAATTTTTGATGGATGATGTGTACAGAAATCCAGGACCTCTTCAGTATGAAGGCCCAGGTGCTGATGCTAAGACAGTGACCTTGTGTGTTGAGGACCAAGACTACATGGGCCGGATCAAGAAGCTGCAGGAGTATCTTGACAAGGTTACTGTGATTCCCATCTTTCCTATGATATTACTTTTCTCAATCATAAATTTCTGATTTGACAACTAAATTTCTTTATTTTCTTTTATTTATTTTCGTTTTGTTTTGCAAGCATCTGTTAGTTCTTTGCTCAACATCAAAATCTCCAACGATGGTACTATATTTATGATACTTAAATTTCACCCCGTTCCATTATATCAGGTGAGAAACATTGTGAAGCCCGGGTGCTCTTTGGATGTTCTCAAAGCAGCATTGAGTTCCATGTCTTCTGTCACAGAGGTTCTCTCTGTGATGTCTGCTCCTTCGTTCAATAGCCAGGCACCAATCTAAGACTAAGAGCTATAATGTCTCGCTGATCTTCAGTTGAAGTTGCCGGTACTTACTGCTATCAATAACAAGGGAAGCCAAATAGTGTTTCTACCCTTCTGTGATGCCCTTAAATGTTTATTATGTGGCTCGAATTTCAAGAAAATCAGGACATTTTTGTTGAGTGTAACTTATGACGTTTCTCTTAACCCTTTCTTGTTACAGTACTTATGTTTGAAAAGATTCCACCTTGGGTCTTTTTGGTGTATCTATTCAGGGAAACAATACCCAAACGTTTGGTGGCATTTAATAAGGAATGGTGAAATTTTGTCATTCGTTGAGTACTTGAATGTTCTTAAACCTGGGAAATATACGAAATAGCAAGTTCGATGCTTCAGGCTTCAGCGTTGAATCATTGTAATGGCAAGAACTAATTACAGAGGTTGATGCTTTTGTCATGTCTCATGACGCCATCCATTTGGTTGGATCATTATTAAGGTAAATTTCGATTGGGTATGTTGGAAACTTTGTATTTATTGAATGTGAGTATGGTGTTAAGCTTTATGTACGGGGTTTGTTTGGAGGACGAAGGAAGGCTAAGGGTAAAGCGTAAATAAGTTTTCTTTTTACAGGGAGAGATTATGAGGTCCTGAAATTAAGGAGTCAAAAGTGTTTTATTCTCATTAAAAAATAGAATCTTTGATTCGGTGTTAGTTGTTAAAGGACACCGTTAGGGTTTTGCCACATATTTTGTGAGATTTTTGTAGGATGAGGTTTTCTTTTGTCTGATGATTCTCATAATACACGTAAGCTATTTATTTTTGTAAGTCTCTTAAGCTGATGTGGTGGCATGGACGACGTCAATACTACTCTTACGTACATTTTCTAATCTTACTAGGCGTTCTGTCACGAGTGACGTCGTTAAATTACGTGTTTCTTTGTTCGTCTCTAACTTGTAATAGCTGTGTGCTCATCACAGGTTTGTGATGGCTTTGAACTTGTTGCCAACTCACGATGGCTCTGAGTTCATCGCATGCTCACGATGGCCTTGTGCTCGTTGTAGATATCTGGTGATTTCATATTCTTTTTTGGTGCCCTAAATTTTGGTCTTTTGCGAGTCGATGGTGATTCCAAGCTTATCGCAAATTCATTTCAAACTGAGTTCATTGCAAATCTGTACAGGCTTTGAACTTATCGCAGCTGTGTGCCAAGTCATGAACTCATCACAGGTGTTTGTCATGGGTGTCTGGCATCGGTTTAGCATTTTCTACTATTGTAGTTGTGAACCTTGTGGTGATCAACATGTACCTACAAGATAGTTAGCAAAGAAAAATTCTTAAGCCCAAGTACGGTGAAGATGGACTCCTATGATTCACAGGCTGGAACCGGATCGGAAAGTAAAACAAAAGCGTTTTTACAGGCCATTCTAGGCCAATGTGGAGATACAAGGCTTAAATTATACTCTCCAGGGCATTTGGGTGATTTTTGGACCAAATGCCTCAATCCATCCTCAATTTATACTGTTTTGCCACTGACACAATCCGTGGTTGTAAAAATGTCTGCATTTCTGCGCCAAGAGTCTTGAGTCGTAACATTCAATTAAAATGTGCGTGCCGAGTGATAAGGGATCATTATTTTTTTAGGCATTCCATTCATTACAACAAATCATCCAGTAGTACAGGCCTGAGAAACTCAGGAGGAAGAGACCAACTTGCAAGGTCGATGCATAGTACATCCAAACTTGGCAACAGTGAGAAAGAAGGGTATATCCTACCGATTTGTTTTCAAAACTGCAAATTTGTTTTCAATAAACCATTATCTCTTACTCAAACCAACAAACAATAAATCCCACAGCTGAATTGTCTCCCACAATCAGAATCCAGAAGACACATCATGCACCAAATTGAAATTTGAACAAATCATGGACATGCTGACTTGGGGCAATCCAAGCCAGTTTGGTGCGGACACATCCTGGTCTGCAACCAATTTACAACCGCTATTTCCAACCTTTTACCCATTCTACTTATTCGTGTAGATTTGAGTTGTTCTGAAGGAAACTGAACAAGAAATAACCAGACCAAATTCAATTTACAGCTTCTGCTCACAAAGAAAATAACATTTAATTTGCATTTGGCGTTTCCTTACTGAACCCAAGAGTAATAATAAAAGGCTACTTCCTAATTAATCAAGAAAGAAATGCAAAAAAAAAAACGTACTAATATGGAAAAATATGGTTCCTGCTCCTCAATCAAATGAAAGCCTGAAAACTCACTTCTCAATGAAACCCTTCATGTTCTTCAACCACCCTAAATACTCTCTGTTATCCTTGTTGATCATGTATTCTTGCAAGAAATTCGTCAAGGAGCTTCTGATCCCTCTAACTTCTAGGTACTTGTACAAAGCTTTTTGCAAATTCTCATCCAAATCCCTGATAATGATAAAAAGCAAATAACTAATTAGTTCATTAATAATCTATTCAAAAAAAGTTCATTAAGAACTGTTGAAATTGGAGCAGGTTGGGACACGTTTATGTGAACCAAGGCCTAATTCCAACACAAAGGTTGGGTCACATTGTGCCAAGTTTTGGCTTAACTTCTTTTTTCTTTTCTTTTCTTTTCTTTTCTTTCTTTTTATTTATTTTTTTTTTTTTTTTTTTGGGGGGGGGTGCTAAAACAAGTGATTAAAGTCAGCATACACCTATGATTTTTTTTTTTGAAGAAGTATTGTATATGTATCAAAATGAATCAAAATATACAACCATAGCATACACCTATAATAATATAGCCTGGAGTAGTTTTAAGAATCATTGACAACACAAACTCTATCATCTGTTTAGTTGGTAAAGAAAAATGAAAGCCTCCATTTTTTACATTAATAATAAACTTTACGATTTAGAAACTAGGAATAAGTACCCAGAAAAATTCAACCAGGTACCAATTTCTAGGTGCCTACTGGAATATATATGATGTCAACAAGATTTCCACAATTGCACAAAATGGAAAAAATTGGCAAAACTGTACGAAATCTAAAAGTTTTCTTTCTTTTTTGTCAACTGAGAAAAAATTCATTGAATTTTGAAGTGCAAATGCCTAAACAAAATCAATTAAGGTCTAGGGAACTAGAAACTATAAGACAAAAGCTAGGGATGGGAAAGATACCTTGTATTGATTTGGCAGTATCAGGAGGAAAAAAGACTAGTATGTCATGTCAAACAGTAAGAAAGCTAAAAGTTTTTGTTGACAACTGAGAAGAAATTCCTTAAGCCTTCTAGTGCAAACACCTAAATAACATCAGTTAATGTCTAGGGGACTAGAAACTGTAAGCCAAAAGGTTTCATTTTTTATTTTAATCCTAATGAAACAAATGATATAGGAAAACAACAAATTAGTTTAAAAATAACTTACATAAACTGTGGCCCCTCATATGCAATCTGATTAGATGAAGCCTCAGGATTCTTCATTAGCATGCTATCTATGGTGATTTCATCTGGATAGGCAGTGCAAGAGAATTCCAATATGGGGCCTTCTCCTTTTGCAATGGTGACAATCAGAGAAATGTTTGTCTGGCTTGAACTCTCATCATTTTCATCCTCATTGCTTTCATCCTCATTATCATCATCTTCTTCTCCAGTCATGTCTGGCATATGAACTTCAACTTGGATGCTCTCTCCAGAAAATTCTCTCTTTAAGGTGATAGTCTGTTCCCCTGGGTTGTCGATGATCTCAAATGGGAACCCATCAGGCAAATAACCCCCCTGAAAGGAAAATAAAATGAGAAAAAATAGACTTGGGTGTCATTCATTAAAAAAAAAAAATGTAGAGTTAGGCGTAGTACATTAGAGGAACTCAAACGCTAACAAACTAAGTATTAGATGGTATTGCAGGCCTCAAGAATGTTGATCACAATCTCAGAGATGTCAAAGACTCGAAATCGCATTTATTGCCTAAAAAGTTAAATTGGATTTCAACACTTGACATGTTCGGTGCTTAAACAGTTGAAGTTCCCCTTTGTACCTAGGTTTCTCAAGGAATGAGGCTTGTATTCCATAGCAAAAGATTTTTTTTAAAAGAAGTAAGGAAGAAAGGGGAAGCACATAATTGCAGTTTTTCTGCTTATCAGTAAAAAACCTAGATACATTTAACAATGTGTATTTTGTTTGGATACCAGAAGAAGCTACTCTTTTCCAGTCAATAGACTCAAGATGTATGTAATAAAAAATACATTCTTTTAAAAATATTGTCATGCTAGATTCATGGCCCTTGTTTTCAGGACTGATAATGCGGTTTGCGTGTCTCTCAATAAACTTCTTTAATTTCTATTATTGATAAAAAAGTATTAATAGACAGATCTCAATTTTAAAGTTGAACGAGTAGGCTTAGTAATGGATTTGAGGTAGCTACCCTATACAAACTTCTCCTCAAAGAATGATGAGAAACCCCTTCTCTAATAGACTACCGTCTAGGCAATTTGGAAGGAAAGGAACCATTGCATTTTTGACAATAAATACTCTAATTTGAAGGAAATTATAAGTAATCTATTTGGCTTGCTATGTTCTTGGCTGGGTGTAAGAAGATTATTTCAGGGGGTACAACTGAATTCTTTTACACAAGTTGGACCTTTTTTCAGATGAACTTTTGTATATTCTCAATGTACAGGCCCTCACTGTACATGGGCTGATGCACTTTTGTTTAATCTTCAATACAATACTTTACTTTCTCCAAAAAAAAAAAAGAAAAGAAAAAGAAACCCCTTCTAATTCATGGATATATGGAACTTGATATGGCATGAACAATTAAGATAAAATGAATATGTTTTCCAAAAGTGTCACATGCAGTAAACTGTGACCAAGAAGTGTCTATCTGGAATTGGCATTTTTTCCTATCAATGCCAAATTGCCAATATGCTCAGCATGTTAAGGCACTCCAGGTACCACAATCATACTAGCAATGCTTCTGCAGAAAAGTGCAATTGTGAAAGCAGTTTTTGGGAAAGAAAAAGAAAAAAAAAACCAAATTCCCCCTGCCTATAGAAAATATCCACATCAACCAAAGAGGCTTTCCATGGGTCTAGAGAACAATAACATTAAGGAAGAACAAAGAAAACTGACAAATATAATGGGATCCAAATATTGTATACCTAAATCAAGTCTCAACTCAATAAAAATTTAAACTTCAAGGTCCTGATTTTGGATTTGCATTCTATTTTTTCAATTGTAAACCTTCATTGTCTCTTGTTTTCATCATCATTCTTACAGAAGTACCTTTAAGTGATAGCATCTAACTATAGCTGGTTTTCGCAGCTTTCCTCCATTCATCTTTAAAAAAGGGTGGCACCTTTATAAACCCATCATCCCCTCCTTTTCCATAAAAAACTCTTACGTTCATGCATAATTCAATTATCAAGCTATCTAAATAAACTTGATTTTGATTTATACTCAACTAAGAGCTATCCCAACCTCAAAATTATCCTGCTCCACCAATCTACATTGTATCTAAATGAGATGGATTTATTTTAAAAAGAATCATCTTAACGGGTGTCACTGTGTCTAGTTCTAAATAAACTTCCTATTCATATGACAATGGCGAATTGGTCTGGAACTGCATCTAAGTTGATTTACATTAGTCTGCAATCTGTATCTAAGCTGCTGATTTGGGATTCACATGTAACATGTATAAGAATGCAGAAGCATTCAAATTCAATACAGCAATTACATGTCAATAAATTTGTGAATTATATACATAGATAGACAGATAGATAGATATAAATGCAAACATAATATGGCATTTACATATAGAAAAATCCTTGAAAATCTATTCTACAACCACCAATAGGCAACCCACTAAATCCAACAATTTCATTCACTTGCATCCATGCACAACCACGTATATTTCAGTTACAGACATTTGTGTGGTTGAGTTTGATATTCAGCGAAAACAATATTGCTCTAGCGCAGTTTCAATCCACACCATTTTAAATGTATCTTAGGAGTGTCCTGCAAATTGCATCATAGTATACTATGCATCCATGCACAACCACCAATAGGCAATCCACTAAATCCAACAATTTCATTCACTTGCATCCATGCACAACCACGTATATTTCAGTTACAGACATTTGTGTGGTTGAGTTTGATATTTGCGAAAACAATATTGCTCTAGCGCAGTTTCAATCCACACCATTTTAAATGTATCTTAGGAGTGTCCTGCAAATTGCATCATAGTATACTATGCTGATAATTAGCAGCTGAAGGAAAACTCACCAATAGCTCGGAAAAATCGGTCCTAATTAGACCATAAACAAAAACAAACCATCAACCTAATTAACGGAAAGACGCAGTTGTCAAGAACTCGTGTGTCTTAGCGGTCGGTCAAGAATAGACGCAGTTGTCTAATGGGCATACCTGAAAATCATCGACCGGGTTCTCGGCGCATTCAATTTCGGATTCAAGGACTCGTGTGAGGTTTTCGTCGGCTCCGATCCTTTTGGTGGCAGTCGACGCGAAGCGAAATGGGAGGAAGAGGGACGACCTTAAGGAATTATGAGAGAGCTTTGTCGGCAACATACACGAAGATGAAATAGTTGATGAAAAAGAAGAGACCAGAGAGGAGAAGAAATGGTGTTGTTTGGGTTTGAGAGTATGAGCACCGGAGAAGCGAATGGTTCTGCGAAGAAGAAAATATGTAATCGAACGCATCTTCACTTTACCTGTTTTTCTTCAGGAGAAAGAATACAGTATTCTCTTTTCTTCGCCCTTCCGTGTGGTGTGGTATTGCAGACTTGGTGCCGGGGCAGGAAAGTAGGGTTTAAGGGTTTAAGAAACAAGGCGGAAAGGAATGACCAGAAGGGAATGTGGTAACAAAAACACCCTTTCTTTTAGGTTAATTACTTAAACTTCCCTGTATTTTATGACAAATACTCTTAACCCCTCTACTTAGACCGGGTGCCAAGTAGACTTGTTCATGGGCTGGGTAGCCCGACAGGCCGAGCCGGGCCCATGAACAGGAATGATCCGGACGGGCTTGAGCATGTATTTTAGCCCGTGGGCTTGACCTCAGGCCTAAAAGCCTAAGCCCAACTATTTTACGGGCCAGGCTCGGGATTTGTTAAAAAAGCCGAGCCCGGCCCGACCCGACTTTTGTATAAGTTAAACCCTAACCCTAAATATTAATCCTTCTCTTCTCAACCCCTCTCTTATCACTCATCTCTTTTTCTTAGCCAAACAAACTCCCTTCTCAGTCACAGTCTCACATAGCCAAACATTCTCAGGAAGACAAAACCAGCGCAACCAGTGAACTCCAGCGGTGACTAGTGAGTCCTCTCTCTCTCTCTCTCTCTTCATTGTTCGGTTGTTCCTCTTCTCATTTCTCCTTCCCACTCTTAGAATCTCAGCTCAGTTCATTTATCAAACGTGAACTCAGGCACTGGCAGCGAGTCCTTTCTCTTTGCCCTTTTGTTCTATTCCTCTCTTATTGTTTGGTCGTCAACGAACGCAGACACAGACACAGTCACCGGTGGCGAACACAGACACAAGCAACGATCTATCTTTTTGTTAGGTCGGGCTTCAGGCTCGGGCCCAAGCTTCGGGCTTTTTATTAGGGACGGGCTCGGGCCCAAGTTGTAGGCCCGTTGGTCGGGCCAGGCTCGGGATCGGGCCTAACAAAATCTTGTTTGTAAAGAATAAAAGCCCGGCCCATGAACAAGTCTAGTGCCAAGCCATCTGTATTGAGAACTTATCAACCAAAATTAAATTTCTAGATTGTCCATCAATAACAATATTGGAGAGCATATTAAACAAAATACCCCAAAAATCATGTATTAATTGTATGGGTATTTTGGACATTTCTATATTTCTTGTCAAGGATTTTGACAAAGGGTATACCAAAATTTTCAGAAAAGTGATTGCAATTACCAAACTTTAAAGGAGTTTTCATTAATTTTCCCTTAAATTTATATGCTCTAAGCATATTGTGTGTTTTTTTATTTTGTCTTGAATTAGGTTTATTGAAAAAACACCACCACATCAACACCACTTAGGGTTGGCGTTTATTGTGCATGAAACCATTGTTTGGTTTCAATGTCTATCAAATAAACATTAAAAAACAGAAATGTTTGGGTTTATGTGCATGAGTTGTTGGGAAGAAACTTCAAATTCTAGTTTCTCCCAACGCCCCAACATTTATTGAAATGCAATGTTGGCCCAGGGCAGTGTAAGTTGAGATGGAAGATAGCTTTAGAGGGTGTTACTTGAAACATCCAATCAAACAACAAAAAACACCAAACAATAAAGCATTTATTTGAGAAACAACCCATTTATAAATGCCCATGAAACCAAACACATACTAGATAACTACAAGCAAATCCATTATGCATTGGCTGATGAGTTTTACTTGAGGTAAAATTTCTTAAACTGCACTTATGGTTTAGCTAATTGACTAAGTATAGCTCTGTTGTTTGACTATTGTCCAACACTACCCCTAGTGTTTCAAAATATTACCATTGTTGTTAAATATTTATGGAAGGATTGGAATCTCAATTTTACCCTTCCATTAAATCTCTCATTTGTCTCTCTCATTCTCTCTCTATCTTCACCTTTGCACAACGAAGTCATCGTTGCCACAGTTGTGTCCCTTCTTCCCCTCTCTCTCTCTGCCAACACACTTTGTTTTCTAACTCAAATCCCACCCAAGAGGATCGAAGGTTGTATAAACAAAAATGGAGAGGTCTGAGGAAGGGAGGCTCTTGAAGAAGAGCCAACATTGCCTGGATATGCTTGGAGGGAGATGGTGGTGGAAAAGGCTTCTTAAAGAACCACCTTGGCATAGAATTAGAGCTCGGTGCTAGAGATTTCTTAGAGAGCAAATAATGAGCAGGACCTGAGCCATAAAAAGGGAACAAAAAGGAGATTTTTTTCCTACTTCTACCTATGCTTTTTGCTATTGTCGTTGTTGGTGGTGGTGATGCTTATTGCTTTCTACTTTCTACAAATTAGAGCTCTGCTTGCTACGTCTACCTCTGCTTTATCATTTCCCCCATTAAAAGAATTCTCAATAGGCTTGGGGTTTTCCTGCAATCGCTCTTCTCTATTGGCGTAAAGATCAAGTCTTGGGGAGGGCTTCGAAGTGCAGAGCCCCATTTCCCCTACCTAAACCCTAATCTAACACATCTCTCCCCAAATCAAACCAGTTCAATCAAGGACCTCTCTCTCTCTCTCTAATACTCTCAACTTTTTTCTCTTAGAAAGAGAAAGGGGAAGAGGGAGATGGCGAGAAAAGAGTAAAATGAATGATGAGGAAGAGATTCAAGGTTTTAAAGATCCGGGGTTAAGATCATGGAAAAGAGAAGTGATCTCATCTAGGATTTGCAGAGATGAAGAAAAGGAAAGAGGGCTGAGTGAATATCTCGGCGGGAGAAGATTTTTCTAGCTTGGACATGGTCTTCACGATTTCTTCTCCGCTGTCGTCGATCTCTCTGGTGGCTCCATCTGCTTTGGATGCTATGAGAGATGTTGTTCTTCTATCCTACACAAACAAATAGAGTGAAGAGAGGTCGGAGGAAGGTGTCTTGTTTTAGAAAGAGGAGAAGGAGAAAGGAAGAAAGATAATGAAAGAGGGAAGAGAGAGAGAGAGAGGTCGGAGGAGGAAGGGGGTGTTGGACCTGCTGATCGAGAGGAAGGGAATGAGGGTAATATTGGGTTTTAAAAAATTAAATTCACGTAGTGTCACGTGTGTACGGGTTTTGATGGATGTTATTGGTAAGGGTAGAGATAGTCATTTGTTAGAAACAGTAGGGGTAAGACTAGACAATAGTCAAATAGTAGGGGTATACTTAGTCCATTAGCTAAACCATAAGGGTAGTTTAAGAAATTTGCTCTTTACTTAAATGTTAGTTGACTAACCTGAGTATGAATTTGTCGTGAGTAACCCAAAATATCAGGTTAATGGTGATTGATAATAGTTTAAAGAGCATGTCGACCCTTGATTGTTGGCTAGGAAATTGACCTTAGTATGTTGGTTCCCTTTTGGTTCAGGTGTGCTTTAAAGCTTCAACATTTTATTGTCTCCTTTGAACTCGCTATTGCGTCTAAACAAACACATCTTCATAATCTCATAGTTTTATTTAATTAAACAAAAGTTTTGATATCAATGACAAAGCATTAAAAACACTTGTTATTTCTACCTTAGCCATCACTATTTCTTGTGTTGTAGGTTTGAGTGGTTGAAGAAAAACAAGGTGAGACAGGAGGTATAGACATGTCATAATAGATTGATAAAATTATGGTTTTCAAAATCGGACCAGACCGAATGATCGGACCGAAAAAACTGGGAATCAATCAAGTGACCGGTTCCATTTACCCCATATCAGTTATTTTGCCAAAAATCGTTAATTTGGTCAACAAACCGCTGACCTGAGCAGTAAAACCATTTGAATCATTCGAATTGTCCAATGGTTTGGCCTTTTTATTTGTCAAAACAGGGCATCTGTTCGGTTCGAACGGTTGGACCATTCAACACGGGAACCGGACCCCTAACCAGTTCATTGTCCGATTCGGTTTTAAAAACCTTGGATAAGATAGATTATGGTGTAGATAACAACTTATGTTATGTGGGTTCCATGCTCTTCCAACAGAATGGTTGACACTTGACAAATTGGCTAAAGAAGGGCACCAAGGAAGAAGATATTTTTGGGATAGATCCCCCAATGGGAGAATGTATTAAATCTAGAAGAGGTGGCTAACAAAGGCTAGCAACCTTATAAGAAAATAAATTACTACTTGTACTCTTTCATTCTCATATTAAATAAAATTCAACATCTTTGCAAGAAAAAAAAAATCATTCACTTGGCAGACGATTTAAAAGATGTTTAAATGAATGAGAGGTGGAACCATTGTTGGATATGATGTAGAACCTATACTTGGTAAAACCAATCTAACAAAGGGATAGAGAAGGGTGTGGAGGGGGGACAGATAATGAGCTTTTCAAATGCAGTCCCCCTATAAGAAAATCTGATGTACTTGAACTCCTTCAAAGGTTGCCTTCTTGTATTGGATTAATGCAACCTTATAAAAATGCCGCACAGCTGATAGTCATCTACAAAGGGATGAATATGGAGAAGAATGAGTGTTGATAGTCATCAACAACCCTCTTTTTGGAACTACTGTCTCACTTTGTAATTCTAGGTTTGGTAGTATATAGTATGGAACCTTTTCCCTTGACTACCTTGTAGTAACTTCTTAATTTGGAGGGTCTTTCTATAAACAGTTTAATATGGGTTACAACCTTTTGTACAATCGCTTTATACAGTAATTTATTGTACAAGGGTTCTATTATTTTTGGATAAGCGTTAAGTAATAGATTACTTCTATCCTTTTCAAGAAAGATTAAGAGAAATAAGGGAATTTTACCAAACTACCTTTAGTAATAGAATATTAATTTCACCTCTAGAATAGGTATTTTGAACTTTATAAAAAAAAAGTAAGCTCATTTCTTAACACTAATATATATATATATATATATAATTTTACCATCTCAGATTTTTATTTCAAAAAGTTGTCCATTGACTCCCTTCAAGAAACATAAATAACGATATCTTTGTCTCCATATAATATGCAAGAAGGTGACACTCAAACATAAAATGGACTTATGAAAAAAATTAGATGTCATATAAACACTTTTTGTCACTTGAACTAAGAACATGATACGAGGGGTGGTTGATCAAAAAAAAATGTTAATAGAGGGGCAGAATAAGCAACTTATTCCAATCTATGAGGGATTAGTAAGTTAAAAAGTGATTTACCAATAAAACAGATATATTTTGTTTTGCA